CCACCACATCCAGCTTTTTTTTTTTTTTTGGTGGAGGCGGGGTCTTGCTATGTTGAGCAAGCTGGTCTCAAACTATTGGCCTCAAGTGATCTTCCTGCCTCAGCCTCCCAAAGCACTATGATTATAGGTACGAGCCACCACACCTGGCCTTTTTTGTATTTTTATTTGCTTTTTTGTATGTTTCTAGATAGGATAATGAATAAAAGCACTTGGAAGATGAGAGGTTTAAAACAAGTTATGGTAGATACAGATAGCCACTTGAGTCACCTTTGTGTAATTGAGCTCATCCATCCATTTAATCATTCAACAAGCATTTATTAAGGTGTTTGTGTCAGAGACTATTTGGTTCTGGAACTACAATGGTGAACAGGTAGACCTGGTCCCTGCTGTTGCAGAGATTACACATTCATCCTACTTACATTATAACACATAACTTTATGCCAATGAAGAACTGTAGAGATTACTAAACTCACCTTTAATGTTACAGAAGCAAGCTAGTAGTCTTTTTTGTTGAGGTTTATGTGTATAATATGAATAAAAATTGATGAATATGTTGATTTCATTAAAAAATGATAACTATAAATGTAGCATTACAGGAAAATTAATATGCCTGCCACTGGGTGACTTTTTGATGTGTATCTTTCCTTCACAGTTTTATTGTGACTTGTGGAAGTGATGGTGATGTGAGGATTTGGGAAGACTTGGACGATGATGATCCTAAGTTCATTAATGTTGGAGAAAAGGCATATTCATGTGCTTTGAAGGTAGTAAAAGTGGTTTTCACAATTGATGGGGGGTAATGTTAGTACCACTGTCTTTTGTGGTTCTTCTGCCTGTCACACAGAGAGACAGTTCACCAAGACAGCAGCCATTAGAGTAAAGTAAGAGTTCAGTTATCGCAAGGCAGCCAAGCAGGAGACGGGAACTATTTCTCCGGTTCGCCTCCCGATAATTTTTAGGGTGTGTGTGTGTGTGTGTGTGTGTGTGTGTGTGTGTGTGTGTGTGTGTTGGCGTCTCACTCTGTTCCCCAGGTTAGAGTGCTGTGGCATGCTCACGACCACCTCGGGGTCCACCTCCTGGGCTCCAGCCATCCTTCCCCTTCCAAGTAGCCCGAACGATAGGCATGGGCTACCACGCCTGGCTAATTTTTGACTTATTGTAGAGATGAGGTTTCACCAAGTTGTCTGGGCTGGTCTCAAACCTGTAGGCTCAGACAATCCACTTGCCTTGGCTTCCCAAGGTGCTGGGATTCTAGGCTGAGCCACTGAGCCTGGCCTAGGCTTGGGTTATTAAAGATAATTTGGGAGGCAGGGGGCTCAGGAGCGCGCACTGCTGGTTGTTTGGGGATGAAGGCATAAGGGTGTTGGAGCTGTCTTGGTGCACGCAGCTGTGGAGGTTGGGACCCGTCAAGTCAGCTCCTTGGTGTGGGCCATAGATTGGGTGGGGAAAACTGGTCTACCGAAATGCGATCACTGAGTAATATCTCGGAGAGGTTTACAATACCTGTTGGGGCAGTTGAAAGTCTTGTGACCCCAGTGACCTGACTTCTGAGTAGTCATAAGCCAATCTAGAGAAGCCAACCAGAGGAGAGTGGCTGGCTATTATGGCTGGCTACCATTTACCGCTGCTTGTAGCTTTACAGAAAGGTGTGTGGGAGGCTGAGCTCCTGGGTGCCATCAGAGAGGTCTGCAGGACCTCAGGTTCATTGTTTAAGGGAAAATAAGTTCATCAGTCTTGGAGGCAGCTTTCCCCAGTGGTCAGGACGTGAAGGTCATCAGTTATTAGTGATTGGTCTCTGTTGAAGTGACTGTGTATGCGCAGTCATGCAAGGAAAAAGGCAGACTTAGAAACAACAGATTTGTTAACTGTTAACTTATGCCTGCAACTCTCTAAGACTTCCGTCTTTTCCATGATTTCACCACGTGGCTCTTTATTAATTTTGCCTAGGCAGTGTAACTTTTGAGTTAGTGTCTCATCCTGTCACCCAGGTGGGAGTGCAGTGGCACGATCACTACTCACTGCAGCCTAGATCTCCCAGGTTCAAATGATCCTTCTGCCTCAGTCTCCTGAGTAGCTGGGACTACAGACACATGTCACAATGCCCGGTTTTTTGTTTTTTTGTTTGTTTTTTTGTAGAGACAAGGTCTCACCATGTTGGCCAGCCTGGTCTCAAACTCCAGGCCTCAAGTGATCCTCATGTCTTGGCCTCCCCAAGTGCTGGGATATAGGCACGAGCCACCATGCCTAGCTGAATAATTTGAATATAGATGTACCTTTTTGTTTTTATTATGAAATAATATTCAGAAATATATAAGTCCTTAACTACCCATCTGCCACATTTTTTTTTGAGACAGTCTCACTGTGTTGCCCAGGCTGGTCTTGAACTCCTGGGTTCAAGCAATCCTCCTGGGGAACTGGGACCGTAGGCTTATGCCAACTCACCTGACCACCGAAAAATGTTAAAGGGAGACTGAGTAATTTATTAAATGTGATTAGTGGATGTTAAAGGTGAACCAAGAAAATTATACCTTTTTTAAAGAAAGGTTTAAATGCTCCCTTTTTTCCTTTAAGAGAAAACTCAGTGGTATTTTTAGCTCATTGCTATGGTTTGAGTGTGTTTCCCAACAAGCTTGTGTTGTAAGATTAATCCCTGGCACAAGTGTTGGGAGGTGAGGCCTAGAGATTGGTGATTGGGCCATGAAGGCTCTGGCCTAATTCAACAGGTTAATGCCCTTTTCTCAGGGTTGGATTCATCCTAAAAGGGTGTCTTCGGTCCTCTTGCTCTCTCCCAGGTCCTTCTCTTGTCCTTCGGCAATTGATGGTGCGACCAGAAGGCACCATATGCCAACCCCTCAATCATACTTTCCAGGCCCCCGAGTTGCGTGCCCGTACATTTGTTAGATATAAATTAACCAGTCTGTGGAATTCTGTTATAGCAGTACGAAACAAACTAAGACACTAATTCAGGTAACTTAAGGAATTGTTCTAGAAAAATAATGTTTCGTTACCTTTCCCAATATATATTCATATTTCACATGTTTCTGATGTTTTGTGTGAGACAAATAAGGGAATGAGTTATAGGTTACTTGGAGAAGGAAGACAGCGTTCAGGACTTTGGAAATTAAGTATCTACAATCCTCTTAAGGTCTTTATTTGTGATGACTTGTAATCTGATATGTTGTATTTGGGTAGAAAAAAGTCTTTCTTGGGTAGAAAAATCTTTCCATAGAATTTATATTTTTTCTAAGCACAAGCTCATTTAAGGGATATTGTAGATATTCTTTTAAAAATGGTCATATATACTGGACTTGGTGGCTCAGCCTGTAATCCCAGCACTTTGGGAGGCCAAGGTGAGTGGATTGCCTGAGTCGTTGGGTTCAAGACCAGCCCGGGCAACTTGTTGAGACCTCGTCTCTACAATAAATCAAAAATTAGCTGGGCGTGGTAGCATGTGCCTGTAGTTCTGGCTACTTGGAAGGCTGAGGCAGAAGGATTGCTCGAGCCCAGCAGTTTGATGCTGGGGTTACCATGAGTATGTCACTGTACTCCAGCCTTGGCGACAGAGTGAGACTCCAACTCAAATAAAATTTTAAAAAATCCTGTATAATGGAAACTATATTCCCAGGAGAAAAAATAAGAAAGACCATCATACATTAAATATAAGCTGAATCTCACTGATAAACAAAGAATTACAGATCAGACAGTTGGGTTTTTCATATGATTAGCAAGGATGAAAAATATTGCTAATCCCAGTAACAGAGCTTCAGGGAGTAAGTATTATCATACACAATTGCTGAAAATATAAATAAGAAACTTTTTAGAGCAAATTGATACTACATATTAAATTTAGAATGGCACACAGTCATGTCTGGTTATTTTCTCTAAGGAAATACACACTTTCAAATTTGTATAGACAAAGATGTTAGTAAAAGCACTGTTCATAATAGCAAAAGTTAGAAACAATTGAAGGGTCCTTCAATTGAGAAATCATTTATAAATTTTGGCAGAGTCATAATGGAACACTATGGAGCCACTAAAACAATAGGGTAGCTTTATTTTTATCTGAAAAGATATTTACAATAAGTTTGAAATATGGTTACAGTAATTTGTAAAAGTGAGTTGCAGAGCTGTCAGCATAGCGTAATCTTAAGTTTATTAAAATAAATATATATAATATATTTGCAAGGCTATAGAAAAAAGTTAAGAAGACAACTCCAAAATGTTAACAGATTACTTCGTAAAATTAGGGAAACTCAGCCGAGCTCAGTGGCTCAGCCTGTAATCCTGCGCCTTTGGGAGGCTGAGGTGAGTGGATTGCCTGAGCCCGCGGGTTCGAGACCCGCCTGGGCAGCAAGACTTCATCTCTACAATAAATCAAAAAATCAGCTGGGCGTGGTAGCCTGTAATTCCGGCTACTTGGAAGGCTGAGGTGGAAGGATTGCCGGAGCCTAGCAGGTCAAGGCTGCGGTGGCCAGGAGCGGCCACTGCACTCCATTCTGGGTGACAGAGTGAGACTCCAACTCAAAAAAAAAAAATTAGGGAAACTCGCTCTCTGCTCAGTATACTTTCACATTGTTGTTTTTTTTCCTACAGTACTCATGTACTGTTTTTTGCATATGAAAAAGACTGTAAAAAAGAAAAAGTAAAGAAGGTTTAGTTTGCTAGTGCTGCTATAACAAATAACCACAAGGTTGGTGGCTTAAGACAGCAGAAAATTATCTCCCAGTTCAGGATGCAAGAAGTCTGAAATGAAGCTGTCAGGAGGGTCGACTCTTCCCGAGGCTCTGTGGGAGAATGTGTTCCATACCTGTTTTCTAGGTTCTGGTGGTTGTGGCAGTCCTCAGCATTCCTTGGCTTATAGATGCATCACTGCAGTCTCTGCCATGGATTCTGCATTTAGGCTTTACCTTGCTCCAAAAAGGCATGTCATGATTTTATTGTGCAAACAAAGAGCAACACTGTTTGGGGCCTCTTTCCTCATGAGACTGTGTTCTCCCTGAAAAGCTCCCTTGAGTCTCGTTTATTTTCATGACACTTGGGTTCCATAAACCTACTATTTAAATATTTTTCTTACCAAAAATAAAAGAAAAATCAAAGGCCAAAAGACTGACTGGTGAAGATAAAATTAAGTTTTCTAAAGGTAGAAATGCTAATCCACGTTTCAGAAAAGCCGTATGTACATTGAGCAATTTTTTTTTCTTTACATGAGCTACATTTTAAAGGGTTTTGCTTTTTGTTTTTTACTGGATTTTTAATTATGGAGAGACTCCCTGTTGATTTGGATTGGTTTTGCCAATGTTTCTTACCTTCGTTTATCTTTTAGAATGGAAAATTGGTCACAGCAGTTTCTAATAATACTATTCAAGTCCACACATTTCCTGAAGGAGTTCCAGATGGTATATTGACTCGCTTCACTACAAATGCAAACCATGTGGTCTTTAATGGGGATGGTACTAAGATTGCTGCTGGATCTAGGTAAGGCTCTTTGACATAAAAAAATGAAATAATGTTGGAACAAAGGCCTCATTCATTTGTTTCAGGGTAATAATTTTCAGGACTGTCACTTGAATTTTTTTTATCTCATTTTTATATTCAAGTCTTTTGTCTAGTAAAGGTTTTTTTTTTTTTTGAGTTGGAGTCTCACTCTGTCACCCAAACTGGAGTGCAGTGACCGCTCCCAGCCACCGCAGCCTCGACCTACTGGGCTCCGGCGATCCTTCCACCTCAGCCTTTCGAGTAGCCAGAATTACAGGCGTGCACTACCGCTCCCCGGCTGATTTTTGATTTATTGTAGAGATGAGGTCTCGCCAAGTTGCCCAGGTGGGTCTCGAACCCGTGGGCTCAGGCAGTCCACTCACCTCTGCCTCCGAAAGGTGTGGGATTACAGGCTGAGCCACCGAGCCCGGCTTTAGTAAAGGTTTTTAAAGACAAGTTTGTGCTTCTTTGTGAGCTGAAATATATTACTTTGCACACAGCCTAGTCAATAAATGCTAAAAGGTAGTTCAATACAAAATTATGATTATTACTGTTGAGATGGTGTCTACTATATGTTGCCCAAGCTGGTCTTGAACTCCTGGCCTCAAACTCTAGGCCTTAAATAGTCCTTCCGCCTTGGCCTTTTATTTATTTTTTTATTTATTTGAGTTGGAGTCTCACTCTGTTGCCCAAACTGGAGTGCAGTGTCTGCTCCCAACCACTGCAGCCTCGACCTGCTGAGCTCCGGCGATCCTTCTCCCTCAGCCTTCCAAGTAGCTGGAACTACAGGTGCATGCTACCACGCCCGGCTGATTTTTGATTTATTGTAGAGATGAGGTCTCGCCAAGTTGCCCAGGAGGGTCTCGAACTCGCGGGCTCAGACAATCCACTCACCTCGGCCTCCCATGGTACGGGATTACAGGCTGAGCCACCGAGCCTGGCTACTGCCTTGGCCTTTTAAAGTGCTGGGATTACAAGCTTGAGCCACCACACCCAGCTAAAATATTATTTTAGTTAGAACTTGAACCGTAATTCACAATTTTTGCAGCTTCCCTTGATGCTTGTCATAGGAAAGCATATAATTGGTTGAATTGCTGAGTTGGAGTGAAAAGTATAGTACTTTTCAGAATGGGTGTGGTTATAATTAAATTAGCAAATAATAGAAGCTTACAATGTAAGTTTAAGAAGTCATTTAGGAAGTGTTTGTATTTTAATGTAACGGTAGATCTTGACCTATATTTTCAGCATTTTATAGAGCAAAACTAAAAGGTAAGTCATTAAATTTGGGTGCCAAATTTTATAAGTTGCTGTAAAGAAATGATAGCATTTACTCTTATAAATGTAAAGAAATCATAGCATTTACTCTTGTGATTTTGAAATATTTGGGTCATAGCTTTTATTGTATTGGCATTTATTCAAGTGTCTTACTCTTCTTGTTCATAGTGATTTTCTAGTCAAAATTGTGGATGTGATGGATAGCAGCCAACAGAAAGCATTTCGAGGACATGATGCCCCGGTTTTAAGTCTTTCTTTTGATCCTGAGGATGTCTTTCTGGTAATTCTTTTTCCCTTCTCTTTTTGTGTTTTTTTTTTCTGAATATGATTAAAATTGTAAACAGGTTAGAAAATTTCATGCAGTTTGTTAAAGGCTATTTGACTTAATCAAACTACTTTCCATACAGTGTTATGGCTGTAACTGTAGAGAGCTCTCTTGTTTTTTCCTGCAGGCATCTGCTAGTTGTGATGGATCTGTCAGAGTGTGGCAAATTTCAGATCAGGTAAACTCATTGATTTGAATTTTAAACTTTTTGCCCATTTCTGGTATATATTGGTGTTACATATTGTATTATGGGGCCAAATTAATGCTTACTTTTCTTTAGCATTTGTTTCTTTGAATAGCATTAGTTTTTTGTGTGTGTGTGACTGAATTCCACAGTAGCCTAATACAAAAGTAAGTATGTTGGACTGATTGCTTTTGCACCCAGTCATCAGGAAAATGATAGATTTATATTTTATTTTTAAGTTTTATAAATCAAGGAGGGAAATTCAATTATACATTTACGGCTACCATGTATTGGACCTTGTGTTAGATGTTGAGGTTAAAAAAATAAAATAAGGTGTGCCATACTTGATTTGGAGAGTCAACATACACAACTTATTCTAACCTAGCCTGATAGAGGTTTTAGAGGAAGTATGAAGAAAATGCCCTCTGGGCTGGGTGTGGTGGCTCATGCCTGTAATTTCAGCTCTTTGGAAGGTTGAGGTGGAGGGATTGCTTGAGCCCAGGACTTCAAAACCAGCCTGGGTAACATATGAGACTCTGTCTCTATAAAAAATAAAAAAGCTAGCTGGATGTGGTGGTACATGCCTGTATTGCCAGCTACTTGGGAGGCTGATGGGGGAACACTGCTTGAGGCTGCAGTGAGTCATGATTGTGCCACTGTACTCCAATTTGGGCAATAGGACGAGATCTCTGACTCAAGAAAAAGAAAAAGACAGTGCTTTCTGGATTGGCAGAGGGAACAATGAGCTCTTCCTGAGTCTATCAGAGATGGCGGTTCTATAGGAAGAAAACAGGGAGGGAAAAAAAGGGAGGGAGGTCTCTCTGGATTGACAGAGACAACAGTGAACTCTTTCCAAGATAATGTGCGTTCCCAGAGATGCCATAGCTCCTTCCCTAGTTTTTGAGCGATTTAGGACTTTGAAACCCTAACATTTTATAGTAGACCTTTCAAGTTTTATTTATTGTAGATACTTTTAAGATTTTAAAATACTGGGTTCTTCTGAGTGTTTGTATTCATTAAGTATATTGTTTGCTTATTCTGTACAGGAAGTACTCTAATTTTTTGAGATTTGTACTCTTGATACCTCTGAGGGACTTAAATCAATGTTGGTGAATCGGTTATTATAATTAAAGTGCATTAAGTTGCTTTTTTATCTGAGATATATATCAATTTGAAGAAACTACTGAATATATTAGTAAGTTTTCTGCATATATTGTGATCAGATTTTTCATAAAGGGAAATTAATTTTCTTTTTTTTAAAAAATCAGACATGTGCAATTAGTTGGCCACTGCTACAAAAATGCAACGATGTAATAAATGCAAAATCAATTTGCAGACTTGCCTGGCAGCCAAAAAATGGAAAGGTAAATGACTCTTATTTTTCAACCTTTATTTTAATGATTCAGTCCAGTTCTTGTTAACTTGGAATGTAAGGGTAGTTTTAATTGTAGGTTTTTTCTTTCATTTGGATTATAAATTTTAGAGCCCCAAGCCAAATACTTAACACTGAAATGCTTTAAGAAACATGCCAACTTGTTAAAGTATAAGTATAAAGTATACTTTCTAAAGTATACAGTTTGCATAAGTAAATGAATTTTATATTTTTCTTTACATTCATGTTTAATGGAGTGACTCTAGAAACCGTCTTATGTCCACTCTCACTGGTAGTATTTAACATTTTGGAGATACTGATACTGTTAGCAGAAAGATATAGGAAGTTTGAAAGGGAGAAGGAAAGTATTCATTATTGCAAATAAACTATTTGTATGTAAGGAAATCCCATGAAAATCAACTGGGGATGAAAACTGACTATAATAAAAAGTTCAAGACCAGGCATGGTGACTCACACCTATAATCCCAAGCACTTTGGGATGCAGAGGCGAGATTGCCAGAGCCCAGAGGTTTGAGACCTGCCTTAGCAGCTTGGTGAGACCTCAATAAATAAATAAATAAAGTAGCCAGGTGTGGTGGCACGTGCTTGTGGTTCCAGCTACTTGGAAGGCTGGGTGGAAGGATCACCTGAGCCCAGCAGGTTGAGGCTGCAGTGACTATGAGCATGGTGGAAGGATCGCCTGAGCCCAGCAGGTTGAGGCTGCAGTGACTATGAGCATGCTACTGTACTCCAGCCTGGGCAACAGAGTGAGACTCAGACTAAAAAAAAAAAAAAAAAAAATTGCCAGATGCAGTGACTCACGCCTGTAATCCCAGCACTTTGGGAGGCAGAGATTAGAGGATTGCCTGAGCCCAGGGTTTCCAGACCAGCCTGGGCAACTTGGTGAGACGGTGAGAACTCGTCTCTACAATAAATAAAGGAAAATTAGTTGGGTGTGGTGACGTTGTGCATGCCTATAGTTCCAGCTACTTGGAAGGCTGAGGCAGAAGGATTGCCGGAGCCCAGCAGGTCAAGGCTGTGATGGCCGGGAGCGTGCCACTGCACTCCAGCCTGGGCGACTCCAACTCAAAAAAAATTTTTTTCAGTAAGGTAACTGGAAGCAAAATTAACATATAAAACCAATAAAAATCTTATATACAAATAATAGCCATTTAATAAATATGATAGAAGAAAATGATGCATTTGCTGTTAAATTGAAAAAGATAATGTAATTGGGATTAAACGTCCCAAGAAATGTAAAAGACCTATTAAAGGAAATTCTAACATGCTACCAAGAGAAATAAAAGAAGACTTCTGTAGTGCATATGTAGGAGTATACTTACAGGAGACATGCCTAGAAGTATAAATATTGCTGTTCGTTATTTTTTCTAATCAAAACTGCCAAGCCCTCTTTCACCCAGTATACAAATAGAAATTAATATTCCATTCTTAGTAAGGAATTTTTCATATGAATAAAGATGTTAGCTCTTCCCTAAATTAATCTATAGCTTTGACAACATTCAAATATAAGATATCAATAAGATGTTTGGGAGAATCAAATTGAACTGATTCTGAAGTCCATGTGGAAAAGTGACATTTTGAAAAAGAAAAGTGATGAAAAATCTAATTCAATCAAATAGATACTAAAACATAATATAGAGTTATGACAATTAAAAATTTGCTACTGACCCATGAATAAACATATGTATTAAAGAGAAATGTATATGGAAATTTAATGTATATAGAGGTGAGAAAAACGAGATTTAGTGAATGTGTTTAACACAAGGCATGAGTACCAGGACGTGAGAGTCATAGAGACCACCTTGGAGGCATCTGCCAACATGATAAATCTATAAGTAGATATTTGCTGTGTTCTTCTTTCAAATTTTCTGTACATGTGAAATTTTTTAGAAAAGATACAAATAAACCTGATCATATAAAAAGTAAACAATTATGCATGATGAAAAATGTAAACTTTTGTTTAAATTGTCTATCTTTTAAAATAGTTACTGGCTATTCCTGTGGAAAAATCTGTTAAGCTATATAAGAGAGAAACTTGGAGCCATCAGTTTGACCTTTCAGATAATTTCATCTCTCAGGTAGGTTTTATGAGTGACACTTGCAGTAGACTGTAGGGAGTGTTTAATGTCCACTTTGCCTAAAAACAGTTGCAGTCGAACAACTCCAAACTTTTGTGTATGTGTCTGCCTTCTACCAGTTCATCCTTTCTTCATTTGATCACCATGTAAAATTAAAATTGTTGGTCCTCTCCCTCTCCCTCTCCCTCGTGCATGCTCTCTCTCTCTCTCTCTCTCTCTCTCTATCACTCCCGCCCATTCCCTCTCCCTCTTTCACACACACTTTAAAATGAAGGAAACATAACCCTAGTGAGTCAGCAGTGGCCTTTACTTCCTAGTTCTCTTCATCTTAATGGTGAATGCCAAGAGGTGCCTTGTATTGTCTCTCTTTCCAGGATAATAACATTTTTTTCGATTCTGATTTTGAAATTGTGCCAGTATAATTTTCTCATGGTAAGCAAAGTAATAACTTTGTGATAGTGGAATATTATTGAAAAAGAAATTTAAAAAATAAGCAAACTTTGTCTTTCTTTTGCATGTCAGATATAACTAGAAGTAACATAGAATGGGGATATAAACATTTGAATTGAGTGAGGCCCACACTGTACCTGTACAATAACTATTTGTATATCTAATCCTGAATTGTACCCCACATCCTTAAAAATATATAAAATAAAATAAAAATTTGAATTTGGTAATAAAACGAGTATTTTAGTTTCAAATTATACAAAATTATTATTTATTGACTGTTTTTCTTTATAGACCCTGAATATAGTAACCTGGTCTCCCTGTGGGCAATATTTAGCTGCAGGTAGTGTTAATGGTTTAATTGTAGTTTGGAATGTGAAAACCAAAGACTGCATGGAAAGGTATGATTTAATACATCTTTTGTCTCATTGTTGCTCATTTCTATTAGTTTTGTTTATTATGAAATATTTCAAAACATTAAAAATTCAATTATTAGGTTGTCAGAATGGAAATATATGGCTATTAGATTGTCAAAAGTTATTAACCTTTTCTAACTAAACTTTGCCTAGAAAAATGTATAGTTTATGTTTTTCTTGACAATATTTGAAGAGTCCACTTTTTAATTTTTAGGGTGAAACATGAGAAAGGTTATGCAATCTGTGGTCTGGCATGGCATCCTACTCGTGGTCAAATATCTTACACTGATGCAGAAGGAAATTTGGGGCTTCTGGAGAATGTGTGTGACCCCATTAGAAGAACATCAAACAGTAAGGTAGTTTGGTAGAATAATTTCTTCAAAGTGTTTTTGTGCGCTTATGGATTTGGAAGATGCCTCAACTTACCTTTCATGGAAAATTACAATTCATGCTAGTATATTAGATGCCCAGTAATAATATAAAGAAAATGTTTTTTAAACTTATTTAACCTAGTGTTTCCTAAATGTATTTTACTAAGAAACTTTTTTCCCACCATATAATGCTTTTCCAAGGAATACCCTTTGTGAAATACTATTTTAGCATCCTGGTATTCATGGGATTGTTAGGTAAATGTTTTATACCTAAAACTTAGAGTTAATAACTGTATCAGGTCTTCGTTTGGCCTCTTTAACTCTTAGTGCTTACTTATACATCTCATCTGTTTAGTCATATAGCTTTACTGAGCTACTATTTTTTTGTCTTCTTTTTTAGAGATGAGATCTCGCCATGTTGCTCAGGCTGGTCTCCATCCCCTGAGCTCAGGCAGTACTCTCGCCTCTACCTCCTGAAGTGCTGGGATTACAGGCATGAGCCGCTGTGCCCAGCTACTGAACTACTTTAAACAAATCACCTTATTTTATTCTTTGTTGCTTTTGTTCATTATTTACTCTACCTAGTAAATGTACCTATTCATTTTTAAGTCTTATTTAGACTTCCATTTAAAGATATCAGACTTAAGCCGGGCTTGGTGGCTCAGCCTGTAATCCCGCACCTTTGGGAGGCTGAGGTGAGTAGATTGCCTGAGCCCGCGGGTTTGAGACCCGCCTGGGCAGCGAGACCTCATCTCTACAATAAATCAAAAAATCAGCTGGGCGTGGTAGCGCGCACCTGTAATTCCGGCTACTCGGAAGGCTGAGGCGGAAGGATCGCCGGAGCCCACCAGGTCGAGGCTGCGGTGGCCGGGAGTGGCCACTGCACTCCAGTCTGGGTGACCGAGTGAGACTCCAACTAAAAAAAAAAAAAAAAAAAGATGTCAGACTTAGTATGTGCATTTTTCTTTTTTTTGGGGGGTGGGGTCTCACTCTGTCGCCCAGGCTGGAGTGCAGTGGTACTCTCACGGCCACCCCAGCATCGACCTGCTGGGATCCGGCAGTCCTTCCTCCTCAGCCTTCCAAGTTGCCAGAACTACAGGCGCGTGTTACCATGCCCGGCTAATTTTTTATTTTTTAATTTATTTTTTATTGTAGAGGTGAGATCTCACCAAGTTTCCCAGGCTAGTCTGTGCGGGGGGCCAGCCCCTGCAAGTTTTGGGGAGTCCCTTGGAAGATGTGGTGGCGTCGGCGATTCTGTAGGGATAGATATTAAAAGAAAGAAAGATGGAAGGATAGATATAAAGAGGAAGAAAGAGAAAGAAAGAAAGTGGACAACTGTTCAGTGAAATGAGCAGAAGCCGTTTATTGAAAGTTACAGCAGGTATTTATA